TCTTTCTCTTAAACCTCAAACAGGTTCCCTCAATTCTGACTTAGTGAGTCTTTCCTCACAACGGCCCCCTCCCCCCCTTCAGGAACACCCCCTCCCCCCACAGGGGGGGGTCACATTATAACCTTTTCCTGTCATTTGTTATTAATTCCCCATCCAGACCACCCCTCCCCCTCCTGGCTCTTTGATCCCTCCAGGATCTGCTGGTTGAGATTAGGATCAAGGGGGGAATCCTCCCCCCCCTCAGATTGCCAACAGCCCCTCCCTGCCAGGGGGGACCTTCTCTCTCTTCCACTGGGATCACCTCCCTCTGCCCCTCCCCCCCCCTTTTGAGAGACAAAATCTGTTTTCCAAATAGATCAGTGAGAAATTCCAAAATCCCTGAGCCCCTTTTTCCATTGATTCCGGCTCTCTTGCTCACAACATTGTGGTTGTGTCCCTTGGAAAGAGGCCTGGAGCAGCCTCAGATTCTGGGGAGCAGAAGAGGAACCAAGAAGTAGGGAGCGACTTCTGTGTTGTTGTGGTTGCCTTGAAAGGGAACTTAAAAGACCATCTCCACTCTCCCTCCCCTGAAGGGAGCAGCCCAAGTTCAGTCAGAGTTCAAAGCAGTCAGAGAGGAATTTCCTTGGACCCTCAATTTGGGAAAATCAGGAGCTCTTGTGGTTGATCAATTTCCAGATTTGGAGCATTTCCTAAAATTCCTAGAGACGCTGCAGGTGTGGAATAGGAAGTAGTGGGAGATTTTCCTGCCCTTCCACGTTTCTCACCCCCCTTCCAAGCTCTGCAGGGGCTAAGAATTAATTCTGGGGGTGCCGTTTCTGCAGAGCCCCCAGGGGTGACGCTGGAGAGAAGCAAGACAGAGATGGAGGATGGGATGGAGACGCACATCTGCCGCCTGGATGGCTTCTACCCCAGGGAGATCGATGCCTCCTGGAGGAGGGACGGGGAGGTCTGGCTGGAGGAGACTTTCCATGGGTCTCTGGCCCCCAACGCGGATGGGACCTACCACTACTGGCTCAGCATCCGGATCGACCCCAAAGAGAGGGGCCGCTATCGGTGCCACGTGGAGCACGACGGCCTGCCGGAGCCTCTGGACCTGGCCCTGGAAGGTGAG